ACACACACACATGCACATAGCCTGAAGCTAATTTTATACACAACGCGTTTAACAATTTTGTGTACGAAACCAACTTTGTGTACACTGAGCCACCGGAAAGCACTCGCTCAGCCACCCTTGTGGAGACCAGGGTTCAAATCCCAGCTCAGCCATGGAAACCCAATGGATGAGCGCAGGGCAAGTCACACTCTCTCAGCCTCAGAGGAAGGCAACAGCAAACCTTTTCTGAACAAATCTTGTCCCCCAAAACCCGTGATAGGGCCGCTATAAGTTGGAAACGACTGGAAGGCACGCAACAACAACATTTTCATCTGATGTCAGCTTGCGATATGTCCAAAGGACGACAGCCTCAGTTTAGTTCTCTTGGCTTCTAAGGAGAGTTCAAGCTTGATTCGCACTCAAGACCCATTTCTTGGTCTTCTTTTTTAGCAATGCACAGAATTCTCCTCCAGCACCCCATTCCCACTTTCCTTCCCATCCGCTTTCTTCCCTGTCCAGCTTTCGCAACCATACGCAAAAAATTGGAAATATAACGGCCTGGATGATTAGGAATTTAATAATATGCCTCCATGCTTTCGGTTCCTCCACGGTTGCATCATTTGCTCTAATAGACATATGTTCCAATGGATTGTTTGCAACCTTACGGGATTTCCAGTACAAACTTGTTCGCCGCGCGTTTGTGCGCCGTGCGCGCCGCTTTGAGAAACCACACTCTCTCGCACGTATTATGCCCAAAACAACCTTCCCGCCATTAACACCTGGCTTGTTAACAGTCGCTTGACAAAACCGCCGCTGGCTAGCAAATATCCCAGCCAGGTTAAGCAGCCAGGAAAGCGTTTCGGAAATCAGGAGAGAGACACAAAAAATAGAGACACAACACACACAAATAGATACACAACACAGTCTGGGCTGTTCTCTTCTTTTTCTCTTTTCAAGAACTGGTTATCAATTCAGGACGTTTTGTTAATGCTAACCAGGGTTCGGTCCCCGGCTCGGCCATGGAAACCCACCGGGTGACCATATGCGAGTCACACTCTCTCAGCCTCAAAGGAAGGCAATGGCAAACTTACTCTGAACAAATCCTGCCAAGAAAACCCCATGACAGGGTTGGCATAAGTTGGAAACGACTCAAAGGCACGCGATAACAAGAAGAAACCTTTGCATGGCCCTTTCTGTGACGCCAGCTTAACACGGTTCCTTTTATACCCATTTTACAGAGAGAGAAAACCGAGGCCAAGCCAAAAGCTGCCCATGAAATTGCAGAATAGACCTATCTGGGTAATAATAATAATAATAA